AACATACTTCCTGTCTGTGCTGAGGTACAAACTGCACTTTCAGTGGCTTTTCGGGGAAAAATCTATTTCAAAGCAATTTCTACTCATAGCGACTTTCTTTTGGAAGGAGTAGGGTAATAGCCCAAAGCTATAAAGGCAGGGGCAGCATTTATCAATTGATTGATTAACCAATCAGTCAGCAAGTATTTATGTGGTATTTCCTATGTGTTTAGCACTGTGCTAACTGCTCCCCGGAGAAACAAGAGAAATATAAAACAAGGTCCCAAACCTGAAGTTAGGGCCTCAGGATGACTAATTGGGAACTGATTACAAAACAGCTGCTAAATTTAGACACACAGAGCCAAGTCTTCCCAGCAGAATTTCTGTAGTAGCAATTGATGCTTTTGGACTCCAGCAAAGAAGTGAGGTGGATTCACTAAGCCCCATAGTTCATTGTTTGATGATGTGAGGAACCATAAAAATGACATTTCAAGAAAAAGCCGCAAGGAAAGAGAATAAGGGGAAATTTGTCTGTCAGTGTGTACAGGATGAGGGAGACCAGTTGGCTGTTGCTAAAGTCTGAGCCTGTACATGAATACCAGAAGAATTGGGCAAATGGCTATGGAAATTTTCAAAAGCGTAAATTCAAAAAACAGCAACAGGCAGGATACAAGGCAGCAGTGAGTCTATGGTTAGAGGTTCTGGGCCTTGGAGAAGGGATTTGAGGAGTAAGAACAGTTAAGGATGTTACTAAGGTTTTCAGTAATAAATAAGCCTCAGTTTCTGTATACTCCACAAAGGCAGTAGAGAACAGTGGACAGACTTGCTGGCTTCGTAGACAGCTCAACTAGGGACAGATTTTGGCTCTATCCTGCAGTAACTGATGGACTTTACTGAATTTGGAAATCTGTGTACTCTCAGAGTTGAAGAGTCTGCCTAAGGCAGCACACATGACTGAGTGGACACCCGCCATTCACACAGTCAGTGCTTCAATGACATTGGCTTTGACTTGGCTAGGAGCCCGCATGAAGCAAGCATCTACTGAGCACCACTGCAACAGGTGCAAGGATCTGAAAAGGGAAAGGGCATGGCTTCTATCCTGATGACACGCGCATACGCTATTTCCTCTGCAGGAGGCTTCCCCAGATGAACTAAGTGCCACCTCTCTTCGTGTGGGCCAAGCAAGAGATGAAGGGCTCTCCACATTTGTTTCTCCTGATGTTCCACATGTGCCTCCTCATGGAGGACCAAGTTACGCTCACAAAATAGACCAGGCATCCCCAAGACCTATCAATAACATTAACCAGCATGTCACCAGCTAGCAAGTTCACCATTTGAAGATACCACTCTCTGCCTCTTATTTCTTCTCCCTCATAGCCTAATCAAACAACAATCTTCCAAAACATAGGTTTTGCTTACATAAAACAGAGCTTGAGTGTTCCTACAACAAAACAACAACAAAACCCGAATTAACTCCTTCCCTTTAAATATGTAAATGTTGTTTCAAGATACTTTTCCTTTTTGCAACTTTCCTATGTCAACCAATATTACCTAAATTTGTTCTGCCATGGGAGGGTGTTATGGTCTTGATGTGATTTGTCCCCAAAAGGGTCACGTGTTGGAAACTTGGTGCCTAATGTGGTGGTGTCAAGAGGTGATGAAACATTTAAAAGGTGGGGCTAAGAGGGAGATAATTCGGCATCTAGAAGTGCCATCCCTGGGAGGAATTAATGCTGGTCTTCTGGGAAAAGTTTGTTCTTGAAAAAGAGTTATTACAAAAGAGAAAGCCTGGTTCCTCCTTAGCTTCCGACTCCCTGTCTCTTGTTTCTGCCTGGGTAATGCCATCTGCTGAGGTGTTCCCCAGAAGCCAAATCAACAGGGTCACCCAACTTTGGCCATTTCAGCATTCAAAAGTGAAAGGCAAATAAACTATAATTCTTTACCAGATACCCAGCCTTGGTTTTTTTTTTGTTACAGCCAATAGATAGCAGGTTTATAAAGAGGAAGGCATAGGAATTTTAAGAAAATTCTAAAGTACATTTATTCTCTGATATCTTTCTGACATATTTCACCAATTCCTCCATATCTCTTGGTGGCTGTAGGTGGTCTGAGCAAGAGAAGGCATGTGGAGGATATCTGCTTTCCCATGGTGACCCTCTGTTCTAGGATTCCTTCCTCTGAAGGAAGCTGACCAAGCCATGAGCATCTCCTCGGGCCACCTTCCCTAGGAACTCTATGGGAGGCTTGTCTTCTCATTCTTCTTTTTTTTTTTTTAAAGATTTATTTTTATTATGTTTTTTTTTTATTGGAAAGGCAGATATACAGAGAGGAGAGACAGAGAGGAAGATCTTCCGTCCGATGATTCACTCCCCAAGTGAGCGCAACGGCCGATACTATGTCAATCCGAAGCCAGGAGCCTCTTCCGGGTCTCCCATGCAGGTGCAGGGTCCCAAAGCTTTGGGCTGTCCTCGACTGCTTTCCTGGGCCACAGGCAGGGAGCTGGAAGGGAAGCAGGGCTGCCGGGATTAGAACCGGCATCCATATGGGATCCTGGGCGTGCAAGGCGAGGCCCTTAACCACTTGCGCCACCGCGCCGGGCCCTTCTCATTCTTTTAAGAAGGTATCTGGCTGACAGAAATTTCCTAGATCATTATAGAGAAGTTAAAGAGGTAAACTAAACTGGTTTTATCCAGGGTAGAAAAGGAAGCAAGAAATTGATCCCTTAAACTGCAATGGATACACTGCCAATGCAACATAAGCTACAAGGGCAGTAGGTGAGATAGGGAACTTCCTGGCAAGGGAGGAAGCATCTGCATAACTGGTTAGATCTTTTACTTGCATGTGCCAAGAATTTTTGCAGGATGAGAAGCTTCTGTTGGAATGTTGATGCTAGGTTAGTTGGTGTTTTGTGGCTTCTTATTCCTTTTCCTGATGTTGACCTCATAAGATAAGCCAATTCTGGAACTGAAGTCTCCCTCTGCTAACTGGCTACCCCTCAGTAGATGGATTCTTGGACAGTATGTAGACCCCTGACATCTGTGAGGACTGATGTTAGCCAGAGGCATTTACAAATCCCTAAGTTCATGAGTGCAGAAACATTTGCACAAGCTCCTGGCTTGCTCCCAAACCACATGCTTCTTGTTCATTGCCTCATGCCCCAGGTTAACCACACTTCCAACTTGAACTGAAGGTCAATCTATCACATTAAGGTGATTTTTCCTTTCCCCGACACATAAGGCCGTTTTGATGAAAACAGCAAAAACATCAACAGCACACACTTTGGGAAGGTTCTTGCAAGGCTAACAATGCATGAAAAGTCACAGCAGCACAAGGGGCTGGGTGGTCACGGGAGCATCCTGCCACAGGCAGTGATTGTCCTACTCCACCTTCAAAGGGCACAGGGTTCAGGTGCAGGTTTCTAGAAGCAACAGATGATTGGGTGTTCCATGGGCGTTCATGGATGTTCATGGAAAGCTTGAATGGAAAATGTTGGTTTGGGAGTGCCCTGGCCTTCTTTCCTGTCTCTACTTCATTCTCAGGCATCTCAGACCACTGGTTTCTTGGCCAAGGTTGAGAGTGCCCTTTCTAACGAACCAGTGAGCTGAGACAGGCACAGCAGGAGAACTGCATCAACGAAATAGATTTTTTCCCAAGTTTTGCATCACTCAAACCCATCTCCTCCACGTACTCCACTAAGAAACAACAAAGAATGCTTATAGCTATCATCCTGGGCCTCCTAAAGAATCAAGGAAAGACTGACCTCTTATATCTTAAAAAATAGCATTTGTTTATTTTACTTGAGATTGCAGAGAAATTTTCTGTCTTCTAGTTCGTTCCCCAAACACCTACAATGGCCAGGGAAGGGCCAGGCTAGAGACAGTAGTATGGAACTTAATCTAGGTCCTGCACATGGATGGTCGGGACCCACATACTTGTGTTCACCCACTGTCCCCCAGGATGTACATTAGTAGGAAGCTGTAGTGGTAAGCCAGGGTGTGAGTCAGGCACTTGGATACGGGATGCGGGCATTCCAGGAAGTACCGAAAGTGTTACATCTTAGCTGCTGCAGACACGTGCCCCAACTTTATTTCTCTATTGAGATCTACTTCATCCTACATAGCAATTGGACTTGAGGCAATGTATAATGGAAGGTACGTACAATATATGACATTGAAAACAAAAATACAAGATAAGAACACTTATACATGGATGGAGGGGGAAAGTCCATCAAAAAGCTTCCTAGATATAATTACTATGATGGAGTAGTGCATTTAGTTCAGAGCTTTCTGGAAACAATGGCAAAGAGGAAAAAAAATCAACAAATTGTTGTTCGGGAAAGATATACCTTCATGTGACAATAATAACTGAAATGAAGTGGTAACGTGGAACTTATACAAAAGAAGTTCAATGACACAGTGAAACTGTGCCCTAAAGGATCTTACAAAAAAATGTGATAAAAAATTTACATATAACTATTTCCTATGCTGTCCCTTAATAATAATTTAAGTCAATAAAAGTACTTAGCTGTGGTTTTTACCTAAGGGGAAAAAAGTAAAATACTGATCATTACTGTCAAACTGGGAGGAGGTTGAGGAGTAAGTAGAGAAATAACTGAAACCCAAATGGCAAGATATTGACAATTACTAAAGTTGCAGGGGTCCACCCTACTGTTGTATTTGCTTTTATACACTTGAAATTTTCCATAGTAAAATATTCTTAAAAATAGTTGAAAGCATTTGACAGCTAGGAAAGCTAAGCTAATATGTTTTCTAACAAAGACCCACCTCTGAGTTTTATTAAGCAGATATACTTTGATGAAGTTGTATTGTTAAGTAGCCACAGTTTGATGTGGGGTGTTTGGAACCTAATTATTTGGGTTGTGTAGCACTTGGTAATATTTTGAATTATCCCCTGAGCACTGTGGGCTGGTCTGGACAAGTGTGCCCATATTCTACTCACTATGGTTGTGTAACACAACAAAAGACCAGGGAGGGAGTGCAGGGGGAGCCGGGTTCAGATACCTTCACTGCAGTTCTTCAGGGCAAAGAAGTCCACTGCAGACAGGCTTCGGTTCCCGCTGGAGATGTATTCCAGGGCCACTCGGAATGGGTGCTCTGGGCGCCCGACTCTTCCCTGCAGCACAGTCCAGCTGGTGGGAAGCAGAGAGAAACACTGGTGAGAAGCAGGTCTACACTCAGAGAGGGTCCTGTCCTGCACTGCCTTCAGGTTTTACTTCTTCCTGCACACCAAGAAGTGGCACCCTGAGGGGCCTGAGCCCGGTGATTCGGACTAAGACCCAGACACGGCTTCCTCCTCTCCACAAACTCAGAGAGTCAGTTCTCAAACCCACTCTGGCCACGGACATCTCCTTTGCCGTATTCTTTGTCAAGCAACTGCAGGTCGTTGAATTATTTCAGTAGCTAGTCTTATAGGATAAGAATATAAATACCTAAGAAAACTTGGAAATGGAATCAGGGAAAAGTCTTCAAAAACCTTTATCACTCCATTTCTAATGACTTCTGGAAAGAATGCCTGGTTTGGGGGTTTTATCTGATACTGCAGTTTCAGGACACTCAGCTTTGCTATAGAGTTACTTAAGGGAAACTAGCAAGAGCTATTTCTTTACTTCAACAAAATTAAAGTGCACTGAAGCATGTATTTTGGGGTAGAAGGTACCTAAGATTGACGTGGACTTGGCAAAAAGGGGCAAACAAAAGATGATGGAAGCAGGTCAAATAGTTTGCTCTGTGCCCATCTATACACTCAGGGACACCGACACAGTCAGAGACCAGAGAATGAGCTAAATGAACATTTTTATACCTTGCTCATGTTATTAACCTATTAGAATAGCCTCCTGACATTGGTTGAAACATCATATTTATTTTCCAACATTGATCCAGATGCGAGTGCATATATATGTGTGGAGAATGGAAATTACTTATTTCATGTTTTATTTCCTTAAAAACCAATTATATTGGTGAGCAATGGACATACAACATTTTGCATATACAACATACACTAAAAACACATAATTTGAAGAGTTAAAGTGCAAGTACGTTGGTAGATTTTGATTTATAGATAACACCCATAAAATCGTCACATTATTCCACATTTCTCATTTCTAGGCTGCACTTGAGTATGACAATGCAAATGATAAGAAAGAGAAACCTAGCTTTCTAGTTTTTATTCATTTTTGGATTTTCTCTTTACTGGTATCCATTAGTCTCTCCTTTCTATTTTCTTTCATTTTTGAAAAAAAATATTTTCATTTTATTTGAAAAGCATTAGATAGAGGGAGATGTTCCATCTGTTAGCTTACTCCCCGAATGAATGCAACAGCTGGGGCTGGGCCAGGCTGAAGCCAGGATTCTGGAACTCCATCTGGATTTCTCATATGGGTGGTGGGGACTTGAGCTGTCATCTGCTGCCTCCCAGGACACGCATTAGCAGGAAGCTGGATGGGATGCCGCCTAGCTGAGACTTGAATTGGAATACTGCTGCTCAGAGATAACCCTTCAGCCCTGGACTGGGGATATCTTCCAGCTGTAACTGACATAAGTGAGAGCATGGTGAGTATGCTGCTCAGTGGGACAGCATGAGGTCTTAGGTAAAGAGGAAATGGTCATTTTGGTGCTTGTCTGCCTTGTTCCTGCTTTTTTCCTCTATTGCGATCATCCTGAATGAAGCTAACTTCACGGAATTATCAAAATGCTATCTCGGGGCAAATTCTTAGAATCTGAGTCAGTGTGCTTGCATATCTAAAACCGTGGCACAGTGCCAATCCTTCTGTAGTGAATCAGGGGCTGCATTTCTGCTTTTGCTTACACCATAGCTCAGCAAATCTCTGCTAACTTTCGCAGATGAAGGCACAGCTAAAGGCAGTCAACAAATTTCAACAGGGTGCTCCTGTTTCGTGTGCCTGGTGTCTGGCATGACGCTTGGGTATATAGCGGTGTCTCTTGAACGAACGGTGTAGTTTTATTCCCTACCTCTGCCCTTCCGTAGTTAATCCAGATCACTGGAGCCAATTCCTCAGCTGTTTAATAAAAATGTATTACATTCCTTCACAATAGACAGCTGTAGCAGGGATTATTGCTGCTGTAAAGTTTGTTCACTGTTACTGTACCCAGCAGGATTTCAATCCAAAATAAAACCGGTACAATTGAATAAGGAAAAGGAGGTCTTTCAGTTTAAATGTGGGACTGTCAAGGAAAGAAATATTTGGAAAGAAAATATAAATGAGAGATTCTTAGGGGAAAAAAAGGGAACAGATTATTTTTTCTTGTTCTGAAAAATAAAGGGCTCTATCTTTTGAGGGAAGATGGTGGTGAAAGGCATGAGTATTCATATTCTGCCAAAACTGTAGCTCTGTTCTGAGGAATGATGGATTTTAATTTCAGGTACACAGTGGCCCTGGACAATGATTTCCACTTCCATATTGACACTGGCCCTCTGGATAAATGTGTCAAGAGTTTTAGGAATTGGTTTCTGAGTTACTGATGTAATAACTTTTGTCTGGAATTCTCTGGCCTCCCATAGTTTACTGCTGCATCTTTAATAAGTTTCAGAGCAATTGCCAAATATGTATTTTATATCCAGGGAAATTGGGACTAGTAAAGGGCAAACTTATTCCTAAGGTCATACTTGTTTAAGAGATAGTCAAAAACCAGTGAAAAACACATGCAACTTCTCTCCTCCATTTTCTTTGCTTACATCCCAGTGGTCACAAAGCTAGCTCATTAGGGTCCTGTTGTTCCTTGCTTCAGCTGGTGCCAACTCTGTTCTGTTCTCGCAAGGGTGAAGGTTGTGTTCTGACCTATAGCTGCCCACAGACAATCATGCAGCTGTACCTATGTGCTGGGGTTTCATGACTTCTTAGCATTTGGGGCTTCAATCAATCACTTTGACAGTGTGGAATGTCCATCTGGACTTTGGAAAGCCAGAAGGTCTGTCTGGTCAGCCTGTCACAATCTATTATCTTCCTGGTGTCTCTCTGGAGTTCCTCGGTTCTAGGGCTGGCGCTGTTCCTCATCTGCCTGATGACTTTGAACAAGGCATTTTCCTACAAATGCCTGGAACTGTGCATGTGTTTTGGGCAATTAAGTATTCTCAACTGGAGAAAGTGTCTCTGAAAGAAAAAAAGACACTGACCAACCACTTTTGCTGAGGGACTACATCCCAATGAATAAATTAGAATCTATGGAGAAAGGCTGGTGAGTTGGTTTAAGAATATTAACAGTGTGACTCAGAAGTTGGAGGCAGAATTTAGAAAGGTCACTGAATTGGAAGCTAAGTCACCTGGGACCCTGTCCTGGATTTGAATGGGTTTAGGCCAAGCTTGCACAGTTTGAAGCTTTAGGGCCCTCATAAGCAAAGTAAAAGTTCTCTAAGGACCCATATTGATCTGATGCCTGTACTTCTCTAGGAGATTGAAGATGTCCTGGTGACACACTATTTCATGAAAGCCCCAAGAGCCACGCTTGACAAATAATTTCCCACAGTGGTGGGAAGAGCGTTATTAGTCATACAATCACGGATCTGTTCCTGCAGAGAGAAAGAGAGATTTATCCAAGGTCACATGTAGGGTTCTCTGCGGCCCTATGATATAGTGTTGCTCTTCAACTGCAAGACACAGAGACAATGCAGTGTACAGTTAGGTGTGTTTCAAACTGCTAGAATTGCAAAGCTAGCAAAGGATGTCTTAGAATTGCTGAAGGGATCATGGGTCTGGGTTTTGAGCACAGACACAGCAGTTAAGCAGTGAAACACACTGCCATTAAATCCACAAGAAAAGTGTGAGCATTTTTGACATGAAAACAAAAGGAAATTTCTAAGGCTCCCATCACGCCCATACCAGGTTAGTCTCTACATGTTTAAAGGAAACTGGCATGTCTGTTGCAGGGCAAGTTGCTGATGAGACTAAAGGATTGGCAGTTATGACTTAAGTGAGTGAAGGCATCAAGTGATTTCAAACCCAGAGTGGATGGTCCTTTGTGAAAGCATGTGAAGACCAGGGGCAGCAGTTGCCTCTGTGCACTGTACCAATGGGCCTAACAGCGATGCAGGGTGGGCTGCCACAGTCAGCCCTCAAACTCCACGAGCAGTACAGCAGGGTGCCCTTCTGAGATGGTTTTAGCAGCCGCAGTGGAGTGAGGCAAGGCCCATTTCCAATTTGCAGCGCCTCATCTAGGCACATGAGTAACCAGAGGGAAAAGAGTTCACTTCTCAGAACTTGAGTTTCCTGACTTAACACAAAGGTTGTGATGCTTGGTTTACTGGATCGTCCTGAGGATTTGTGAGAAAGGGTGTATGCAAGGTTGGTATCAGTGCTCTTTAGCATACAGTACTGGCTCAAGACAGAAAGCCATTCTTACAGAAGATAACAAACACTGAACCGTGCAAACAGCTTTACCTCAGTCACCCAAAAGCTACATGATGTAGATAAGAGAGAGTGGCAAACACATGGACAATTTATGAGTAGGAGCCACCATATCTGTTGAAACAAGTGAAAAACAAAGTTAAGTAGAACTTCTATGAGAAACACAGTCCCAGGAAATCTTGCTGACAAACACTACCATGCATATAAGTCAGAGCTGGAGGCTGATATCAAGTCACCTTCTTCTCAGAAGCCCTTAATGATTTCTATTTTACTTTGAGTAGAATTCAGTCTGTACTGCTGCATTCTCCTGCAACCTGTGCAAAGATGACTGCGTCAAGTTCTTGGTTACAATGTGTTGTATTGCATTGTGTTTCCCATGTAATTTCTGGTGTTTAACTGCACACTAGGTGATGTGTTAAATATTTGGGGAATGCTGAAGGCTTAAGATTTAGCATTGCACTCAAGGAGCAATATAGATAGAAGAGAAAGAATAATAGACACTGAAATTTACAGTGATGTGAGTTAAGTGTGAGCTGACGGAGTAATGCAAGCACTCCGTACAGCTGCCACCTAGAGAGCCAAGTGCTGTCTCAGGCTGGGCAATCAGGATCAATGCAACTTAAGAGTGTGAAGAGGGACAAATTTTGGTAAAGGGGCAATGTAGAAAGAGAGATGGGCATGAGCACATGAGCAGCGGCTGCAGAGACAGTGAGTTCAGAGAATAGTCTGGTGGGAGTTGATGGCTTTTACAAGATAGGATAACCCCGGTG